CTAATACGTTGAGACAGAGTGAATGGAAAGCTGATCGGAATGTTAAGGCATAGCCCGGCATTGCACTGCTTTTGCTGTCTGCAGATATGCGGCATGGGTTGATTCATTTAGCGCATCATCTAAAATCATGTAGCGTTCAATACCGATTAAAATTATATGAAATTGTGTGTAAGAGATTTCTCCGTGTTAGCTTTGAAAGATGCTCTGTTCCTTGCAGAAGCAGTTCGAATAGGCACAGCACAACTCTGCTGACTGCAGGTGTTACGCTTCATGGACACCAATGCTGCACCAGCAGCCAGAGGAGTTGCTCGAGATTTAATTTCACGCTTGTGTATCTGAGTGTAAGATTGGTCCCCTTCTCTTTTAATCGTGTATTTGCAAGTCTCAGACCATATATTATGGTATTCATTACTCCTCTGCCATCAGCGCCGGCCCGATCTATCAAAGGAAAGCTCGCAGGGTCAGGGCTCCTGCTGTCCCCTCTCTTCCTCGCTGCCTCCTGCTCTGTGTGCGCGCCTGTTTTTCCACCCCACCCCTCTATTTTGGCTGCTCCATTTTGAGCCTTCCTGGAGCATGTTCCTGCCCCTCCTATTGTCCCGATTTCCTCTTCCCCAATTCTTCCCGGGTTCCCAGAAGAGAGGAGCCTCCCCCTGTTCGCTCCATGCTGGACCAGCCCGTCTAACTGCTGGCTTTTCTCCAGCATCCAGTTCTGCCGGAGTGGAGCAGGAAACCACTTGGCTGCTCTCTGTTCTTGAGCTGTTAACTGTCTCCCAGCTGAAAAAGGCTTGTGGAAACCTGTAGTGATTAGTACTAACATAACTTTCTTAAATATTTTCTCCAAAACTTGTTTGGATATTAGAAACACTGGGTTGAGTCACTTATTTGCATGTATAGCTTCTGAAACTGGAATTGGAGCATTTCACAAAAATGAATATATGTACTCTAACAGCTGGAGCTCAACAAAATATTTTAGCTGTATATATTTTCAGTGAAAGAAGCAGATTCAGCAACACTGAGAGGCCTGTTAAATTTTCATTGGTGGGATCAGCTTGGTTTTGGTCAGAAGGTACATCCCCAGTCCCCCCCTACCCCAAAATCTGGAAAAAGTAACAACTCTGCCTGAAACATAAGATGGTTTTGATATATGAAGCACTTTCTTTTTTAAAATAACTGGACTTGAATGCTTTGGCTCTTCCAAACTTCTATCTGAAAAGCCACTGTATGCTCTGTTCCGTACCTTGAACCTCTTCAGTGTGAGGGAGTCCATTGACCCCAGTTGACATCGCAGAACAAAAGCATCATGAGATTGAGTCTGTGGTTTCCTGATGACTTTACCAGTATAAGATACTGCCAACAATAGCTACTTGTTCCCACAGTGTTTTCTTGGAGTGTTTGTGTAGCCCCATGCACAAATGCATGGATGTAACGTGAAGAGGTTGGGGAACCGAGCCAGCTTAGGGAAGAAGGTTGTGTCACGATTTTCGATAGAGACAGACCATTACCTTTCCAGTTCACACTGTGGCCAGAGATCTCGACCTGTCATCCTTTTCCCAGAGGTTCTGCAGCTATCCAGTAAACGTATATTTTCTCTAAATTGCTAATGACTACTGAATTATTGCATGTTTGTGAGGGGACTTTTGACATTAATGTTGGGCTGCCTAACAAGCGAGGCAGGATTTTATTTAGAACAGGATGTCCCCATTTATTTCTTTTTCAGTCCTACAGAAGATATTTAGTGGTATAACCAGCAAGTTTCTTCCCACAGTTCTCTTGACAAATACTTGAGCTCCCCTCCTGGTTTGTAACATCTTTTCTGGTGGAAATAAATTTGTGTACAGCGTGGCTCTTCACCATTTATAAGTAAAGCTAAATATACAAATCTATTAAGTTCCTATGCAGAAAACAAAAACTGCATATTTTCACAAGAATGTCAGGTTTTTAATTGCATAAATAAGATGCTGACTGAAGCAACTGTTCAATTTCACATTAAAGTTAGGCATTCATAAAGGCTTGGATTTGCATAATTTAATTTTCTGCACAGAGGATACTGAAAATCAATTGTATGATTCATAGCCATACCATGGTGCCGTGTGGCTTTTTGATGGTTCAAGCTAGGAGTACAAAGAATTTTACAACTTCAGATGTTTCACACTGACTCAGAGCCTTTTTACCTTCAACAAATATGGATTATTTAGACATAGTTTCTTTCTTCCGATGATAAGGCACACAGAAGGGCTCACTGAGCAGATACCTGCTGGAGTACCTTATTCCTTGGAGGAGGCAGGGTGAAATCTTCCTTCTGCCTGCAGGGCTCCATTTTTCTGGGTTACAACCCTCCTCCCCCCAACTATTTGCCTCCTCTACATAGAGGATGCTGGGAAGAAAGCTGCTGTTGTCTTTCATTTTGTAATAAGGAGGGACTTTGGGAGTAGTTCTCAGCACGCGTGATTAAGTGAATAATCAGGCCACTTTTTTTCTGATAGTCTTTCCAGCCATCCACCTAGGTTATTTGTATGTTACCTTCCTGGGGATTTTTGTGGTCTCTGATCTTTGCTTGGATTTTTCTTTTTTTTTTTCCCCGAGAGGGTTTGGGTCTCCACTCCACATCACTTACCTGTTCTTTCCTGTTGAAATGAGTGCCTGTTGCCTCCCAACCAGGGAGACATATTAGGGTAAATCAGAAGAGGAAAATAAGGTATGTGATAAAGTGTTGCCTGCAAATCCTGGTAGCATGACCTGTTCCAGCATTTCTAGTTCACAACGTGGAGTGAATTAGCAATTAGAAAGTTGCCACGAAATCTAGAAAACTCATTCAATCAGAGGCTCATAATAAATTACACAATTAGTACTTTTGCTCGCACAAGAGAAATTTGGCAGGGGCAACTCTGTAATGCCTTTCCTGAGATTGCATGACTTTTCCTACCACTTCAGGATTCCAAAATCTGCAGAAATCCATGATCCACGTTGCAGAGTGAAGGCTGTCTATAGAGCTGTTCAGCGTACACGGGTAGCCCTCGGATACAGCATGCTCTCTGCTACTGTGGTACAAAGGGGGTGTCACCCAGAAGCTTTTCTGAAGGGAAGGAAAGCCAAATTCTAAGTTACTGGTACTTGATGTTCAATAAAGTCCTGTTATAAGCTTTATTTCAGCCCAGCTGTAGTTGGCCTGGGAATAGAAGGGAATACAGTGCTTTTTGACTGCATACAGGTAGCAGTGCTCTACATGGTTTTCTAAAGTTTTAATTTGAATTATTCAGCTAGTTTCTTACTGATCAAATAAGTGGTTTGGGATCAGTTGGACTTAAATTTCCATAGAGCCAGGTGGTGCATACTTGTTCTTTACATTCCGTGTCTGTGGATCTAAGGGCTTTTTGTTTGTGTACATTTATTATAGCACAAAAGTTTTTGGCTGTGGTCCTCTGAGAAAGGTAGTTGAATTCATTACAGACTTTTTAGTGACATTTGTGAACTCACACACCTCTGGTTTGGTTCAGTCAGATGCATAGAAACAATAAACAAAATTTGCACATAAAAAACCCCCTAAATAACCTACTTTCTCATGGAAACTATGCATTCCTTCACAAGAAAAGAAATATATTGTTTGGGGTATAAAAGAAACATCCTAGGATGCAATGTAGGATGCTTTCTTTTCTGGTTTGGAAAGCCAACCATATCCTGCGCTACATCAAAAGCATCGTGGCCAGCAGGTTGAGGGAAATGATTCTGTCCCTCTGCTCTGGTGAGACCCCACCTGGAGTACTGCGTCCAGCTCTGGGGGCCCCCCAGCATAAGAAGGACATGGACCTGTTGGAGTGGGTCCAGAGGAGACCACGAAGATTGTCAGAGGGCTGGAGCACCTCTGCTATGAGGACAGGCTGAGAGAGTTGGGGTTGTTCAGCCTGGAGGAGAGAAGGCTCCGGGGAGACCTTGTTGTAGCCTTCCAGTACCTAAAGGGGCTCCAGGAAAGCTGGGGAGGGACTCTTGTTCAGGGAGTGGAGAGATAGGACGAAGGCTAACAGTTTTGAACTGAAAGAGGGTAGGTTTAGATTAGATATTGAGAAGACATTCTTTACTTTGAGGGTGGTGAGACAGCAGGTTGCCCAGGAAAGTTGCGGATGCCCCATCCCTGGAGGTGTTCAAGGCCAGGTTGGACAGGGCTTTGAGCAGCCTGGTCTAGTGGGATGTGCCCCTGCCCATGGCAGGGGGGTTGGAACTAGGTGATCATCAAGGTCCCTTCCAACCCAAACCATCCTGAGAATTTAATTCATTCTCGCTTTTGAAGTTTTACAAGAATTTCTTTGTTACTGGCCTCTCCCTTTCGTGTCATAAGGCATTGGTACTGCATGCTGGATATTTGCCTGATGTACGCAGCCTTACTCTGCCTAGAAGGCAGCCTACATGTCCGCCTTGCTTGAGTGAATGATATGAGGTGATGCTATTTGGGCTTTGCTCATATTGAGACTGTTATCCAGCACATGGAGGAGATTTATTCGGTCCTGAGTAAAACTATTCTACACAGGATTTTAAGATATGGTTTAAAATGGATGCAGTTATGATCATCAGGATAACACTGTACCAGCATATTTCACACGCTTGCATTTGTATTCTTTTAAGGTTCTTGATAATTTTTGTGTTGAATTACAATTAGTGGTTTGGTAGTCACTAGCAAAATAAACTAACTTTTGGGTTTAGACAGAGGAAGTTTGGTCATATGTCATCATTCATACTTGTTTGCTTGTGTATATCAGAATTTCCTCATGGAAATTAATGGAGTTATGTAGGCATGTGCCACATCAGAATAACGGCATCCGTGAGTCCTGGCTTCTTTGAATCCTCTTTGGATGATGGGTTTTCATGGGTGAGGAACATGCCTGTTAAATTTTTTTTAAGCAATGCCATTTTGTAGTTTCTGCTCAGCAAAGATTGAAGCCTTACAGTGTAAACTCAAGGGAGT